CAACCAATGTGTAACTACGTTGTGCCAACGTAATTATTTGACCTTCAACCAACGTCGGACCAACGTTGATCCAACTAGTCGGACAGACGTCTTTCCAACTGGCAGAATCGACGTTGGCCCGATGGAAAAACGAACGTCTAGGCAACATCAGAAAAGATACGTTGGGCCAACGTGAATGGACGACGTTGCACAAACATTATCGGGCCAACGTAGATCCAACTAGTCGGGCCGACGTCTTTCCAACAAGCTGAATCCACGTTGGGCCGATGGAAAAACGGCCGTCACGCCAACCAATGTGTAACTACGTTGTGCCAACGTAATTATTCGACCTTCAACCAACGTCGGGTCAACGTCGCTTGCTAGCTGGGTTATGTTATGTTTTTAACCTTTCATTTACAAATTCAAAGTTCCCAAACGCCCTAAAGATTGCACGTGTAGTTCCTGTATTTAAAAAAGGCCTAAAGGATAACATAGGGAACTACCGCCCGATATCTATATTACCGGTATTATCCAAAGTTCTTGAAAAATTATTTAATGATCGTCTAACTAATTTCCTTGAAAAATTTAATATATTTTATAAGCATCAATACGGGTTTCGCAAAAAGTACAGCACAAAATTATCGTTAATTAATTTAGTTAATAATCTTTTATTTCAATGTGATAATTCAAAAGTGGCCCTTGGTATTTTTGTTGACTTTAAGAAAGCATTTGACACAATTAATCATGATATTTTAATTTCAAAGGTACAGCATTACGGGGTAAGGGGACCACCTCTATTTTGGATTTCTGATTATCTCAGCAACAGGTTTCAGTTTGTTTCCTCTGGTGGGTGTGTCTCAAATAAATTACATATACATTGTGGTGTTCCTCAGGGATCAGTACTGGGAGTAGTTATGTTTTTAATTTATATAAATGATTTACTAAGCTCTTCAAATTTTTTTGATTTCAGGTTGTTTGCCGACGATACAAACTTATTTAAATCATTTTCCGGGAATATATTAGATGTCAATGAGGTTAATTGTCAGTTTAAAAAAGTCATTGAGTGGTGCACCTCCAATAAATTAACAATGAATGCCGATAAAACTACTTATATAATCTTTCAGTCAAAAAATAAAGTTGTTACAACGTTTGGCTCCATTAGGATTAATACAAGCTTAATTTCTGAATGTAAATCTGTTTATTTTGTTGGCGTTAAACTCGATAAATACCTTAGTTTTAAAGTACATATATCTGATTTAAACAATAAAATAAAAAAGAGAGCTGGTTTTTTATTTAAGTTACGGCACTGTGTCCCTGAGGAAACATTGGTTATGCTTTACAATTCTTTTATTCTACCCAACTTGATTTTTGGTATTGAGGTATGGGGCAGCACCTACGAATCGCATCTAAAACCTTTATTACTCACTCAATAAATGTGTGCCAGATGTATTACTTTTTCTAAATTTAGGGCTCATTCTGTACCTTTATTTAAAAAACTTAACATTTTAGACGTATTTAAGCTTCATAAATTATATATTTTGAATTTTATATCAGACTTATTTAATTACCACATAGTTTATCTGATTATTTTGAAAATATTTGTCATAGTTATGCAACAAGGTTTAATTACGAATATAATTTAGCCATATCAAAATGCCAAACTAATTTAGGTAAATTTAGAATTTCTTATATGGGTGCTAAACTCTGGAATACAATACCTGTTAAGTTAAGAGAGACTACCTCGAGGAATGTATTTTTTTCAAAACTGAAAAAATTACTTTATTCCGAGTATGAAGATTGATGCCTATTTATTTACTTTCATTATTTTATTTACATATTTATTTTATTCTATTTTATTTATTGGGGCTGAGGGGGATAGTTAAGAAAGGGGCCAAGCTCGATTAGACATGTCTATTTCTTGGCTCCTATTGTATACCATTTGTTTGTTTTTTGCGTATACAATAAAGAAAGAAAGATAATAATCGGCAACAACTCTCTACCAAAGCCCGGCGTTGCGCCGAAATTCGCTGGATACTACGTCTTAAACATTAAGACTAAGATTAAGATTTATATTATCATTTATTGATAATCATCAAACCAATCATTTGAACTTAATTATTTTTTTCTTCTCTGTTGTTGTTAGGCGCCTCGAGGTTGTGTCAACGTGAGGCGCTATAAAAAAAAAAAAAATTATTTGGAATAAGTCTAATTAAAAAACAAACCACTGGAATGGATAGTAGTAGTAATTAAATGCTGATTGAAATATATTTTGCCTATATGTGATTATGAAAAATAATTTAAAAAGAATCCAAAATATAGAATTTAATTGTCAGCATCATAATAGAGCTTGCCAGCTATAAATGTTTTCTTGAGGTTTAAGTTTTCGTCCATAAGTACTATGTCGGCTCTGTCTCCAATTTCTATCTTCCCAATTTTCTTCAGATTAGCAATACTGCAAGAAAAAAGTGAAATATATTTTACAAATATTATTTCTTTAAGTTCAAAAGCAAGAAAGCTGAACCTTTATAAAGGATAACCTGTTCTGATGGAATCGGTGTAAACAATTGGGTAGATGTGTATAAGAGACAGTATATACTGTATATTATTTGTTGTATTATGTGTAACCATGGCAACTACATTGGTAAGACTGGAGGCAAAATTAGACTTCGAATGAACAATCATAAGAGTGCTGTTAAACGTAAGGACCCACTCTCAGTTGTCAGCCAACATTTCAACTCTCCAGGCCATACCATCAACCAACTACCCTTCATAATAATCGGCAACAACTACTCTTCTACCAAAGCCCGGCGTTGCGCCGAAATTCGCTGGATACTACGTCTTAAACATTAAGACTAAGATTAAGATTTATATTATCATTTATTGATAATCATCAAACCAATCATTTGAACTTAATTATTTTTTTCTTCTCTGTTGTTGTTAGGCGCCTCGAGGTTGTGTCAACGTGAGGCGCTATATATATCCAGAATTATTATTATTATTAATTCCCATTTAGAAGGGTTAAACAGACATACTTAGCGGATACACATTTATTAATCAGAGCTTTATTATTTTTAATATTATGTATGAGCCATTGACAGTTTGCATAGGTCCCACCCAGTTGATGCGGCTTTCGTATATTCTATTGTTTCATCTCATTATCGCCGCTTGCCTTTGTTCATTTATATATATATACTGTACATATATGTATATGTGTATATATATGTGTGTATATATATATATATATATATATACTACTGACTATATTATATATATGTATATATAATATAGAAACTTTAACTACTGACTGATATATAGAAAAACAAATCACATATCTTGATGTTCTAACGTAGATTTATTCAATACATGTTGTTTCTTCAATGATTGTGGAAACATAATGCATGACACAAAGTTGCGAGAAATCGTGAGTTTAGGTGAGCTAATAAACTCACTTTAGGTTAATATTGCAACACATTCCAAAAGATAGCAAGCCCCAAAAACATACACTTCGCTACAATATTAATTTTAACACATTCATAAATACATAATTTCAAGAAAGTATAAAAATTAGGAATATTTATAAAAGAAGAAAATGAATAAATTAACGCTAATAAATAATGAAAAAATAGACTATAAATTTAACTCAGCTTGATAAAGGAATGTACTTTGAAAGGATTAAAAGTAATGGTATAAAATCCTTTATTATTTTTCTTACAAAGTTAGATATAGTATGATGTACCTTTGAATATTAGGAGAGATATTAAGATATCAATAATTATGACATTTAATAATAATTTCAATATTTTAAAATAAGAAATATAGTAATAAACATATTATTGGTAAAAAAGCGCCTAATAAATTTCAAGAAACCAAACTATTTTCTTTGATGATCTCCGCTACACCACTGAATTTTAGGCGAGACTTTTTTATACTTTGTTTAGCGAACCCTCCAATCACCAACAATGGTTGTTTGGAATAAAAAATAAAATTTCATTTTAGCCATTTATCCACCTTCTGCCACTAAAAAAAAAAGGAATTTCAAAATTTAAAAAAAACATATTCTTATAAAGCCCTCTAATCTCTTGAAATCTCCAAAAATAAATAAATTATATAAATTTACAGCAATTATCCATTTCATAAATACGCTTCATAATAATTTAACAGTACAATTTTATATTTATTTTCTCATCCTCCTCGATACTTTTGGCAAAACAATTTTGCTAAATAAGAAAACAAAATTTTAGTTACCGCACTTTTTAAAACGATCTTTAAAAAAGTAAATTCGCTATACAAGATATTAAAAGTCTCGCAAACAGGCAAAAGCCTGTATGAATCCACCTCCGCTCTCTGTCAAACCTTGACAACCAGTTGTGGCCTCAGAAATTCACGACAAGGGGTCCGACATGGAGTTCTGAACCAAGGGGCCGACTAGAGCCTTGGTCAGGGTCCTGGAATAAAAATCTCTGGTAGAGTTCATGGGAAAAATAGTTGACAATTCGATGCCATTTGCTGATTGTCAGTGGCAGAGATTAAGGAGATGAAAATTTAAGTGACCTGTTGCGCACATCCATTACATTGCTTTCTTTATGAAATCACATTGGCTGACAAGTGTTGATGAAGTTGTGTCCCCATCAGCGCCACTTGACTAAACATTACCAACTAGGGCAGGTTATCTCAGTTGAAAAGTGTTGGAATAACAGTCTGAATGTCTTTTCTCTACCCTCTTTACATTATTAATAGACTCCATGAGAAATTAGTAATAAAATAATAATAATACATATTATTGTAATAATAAAAATAAAAGACAATGATAATAATATTATTATTTGATCATTATTTCAAACTTGCTGTGGTTGGAAGTGTTGGAATAACAGTCTGAATGTCTGCCCTTGAATAAGCGATGCACCAGATGTAATTATTTTGGGTAAGCCTTTTTCTTGAATATCTGCTACGTACAATTTTTCATCAATTAAATAATACTAATATTGCAGTAAGTCAGACAGGCCTATGTACAATTACATAGTACCATTTTAGCAATAAAACCATTTTTAATAAGTGATTCTTTCAAATTAACCCCACAAATTTTATAACAACTGCAGCGTTCAATGGAAAAGTTGTGGTTTAAAAAAAAAAAAAATTATTTGGAATAAGTCTAATTAAAAAACAAACCACTGGAATGGATAGTAGTAGTAGTTAAATGCTGATTGAAATATATTTTGCCTATATGTGATTATGAAAAATAATTTAAAAAGAATCCAAAATATAGAATTTAATTGTCAGCATCATAATAGAGCTTGCCAGCTATAAATGTTTTCTTGAGGTTTAAGTTTTCGTCCATAAGTACTATGTCGGCTCTGTGCCCAATTTCTATCTTCCCAATTTTCTTCAGATTAGCAATACTGCAAGAAAAAAGTGAAATATATTTTACAAATATTATTTCTTTAAGTTCAAAAGCAAGAAAGCTGAACCTTTATAAAGGATAACCTGTTCTGATGGAATCGGTGTAAACAATTGGGTCTGAAGTTTTAAATTCCAAACCGTCATGGATGCCACAATGTATTTACAAATAATTCTACACTGAAACTTGTCCAACACTCTTGTCCAAACCTACAGTGGTTTACAATGCTTATAATGCTACACATCATCTACGAACAACCCACCCACCAAGAAGTTTGTGTCATTGAAAAAACTCCCCCTCACCACCTATCTTTGTGCATATGTGGAACTGGGTTAGGTAAACACAAGATTATTTGTTAAAAGAAAAATATGGGACATTAGAAACTATGATGTAATTTATTTATATGACGATATATAGATAGTTCAATAGTTCAGTATATAAATCCAATGATTTTACCAATATTAAAAATTAGTTTTACTTTAGTTTCTAATTAAGTTTTGTGATTTATTGATCAGATATTAATACTTATTTTATTTATTTCAAACAATCGTTAAAAAAAAATATACTTTATTCCCACTTACAGGTGAAAATTGCCAAAATAAACATTTAAAATATAATATCACATAGATGATAGAATATATTGAATAAATCAAATTTAATATACCTTGCTGGAGTTTGTGAAACCATTCTAGAAGCTTCTCCTATTGTCAAATGGAAGGTCTTTACCAGGGACTTGAATGCATCATGGCTTGTACAACAGCTTCCAGCCAAAGTAGAGGTACCGCTAACGAAAAGACATTTACCATCTGAAGATACTTCCACTAAATGAAAAGAAACCATTTTTAGATATTATTTTATAAGAAAAATATGTAAAAAAAAAACAAACATTGAGTGTAAAAAAAAAACATTGAGTCAGATACAAAAAAAAAAAAATACATTTCACCACCCCCATCCTTAATTCTTGACCAGTCTGTAGATTTTAATGCACTTGTCAATTGCAGTCCAGGCCCCTTGGACCCGTGCCATAACGGGGCACTGGACAGGACTGAGCCGGGGACGTACACATAGTTGTGTCCCCGTAGTGCCGGGACATACCTAAAATTCACCCGTAGATGGTGATTGCTGGGAGGTGGCCGAGACTTTCACATGCACATAATTGTTTCGTAAGTTACATCCCCGGTTAAGTCCCCGCTAGGCCCGAGTCGGGGGGGAGGGGGCAGGACTACAATTGACAAGTGCATAAATACTCTTTAAAATTTTCTTTAAAATGATTACTTATCAAAAATGTATTCAAAGCATTCGGTCATTTTAAAACAGCAAAAACCTAACCAACAACGATAATTATTGTACCGAGACAAAATCACTTTGAAGCCAATATGATAAAGTAATTATATTTTAGTATTTGGCCTTAAGTATTTTTGTTGTATTTTTTTTTCTTATCAAATCACCTTTTTAAGACAACTTGATCTCTTTATCTCCTCTGTTTTCTACATCCCCGGTTTACAGTTTTTATTTTACTCAACACCTGACTACCTAAATACTGTACTTACTTGTTCTACCGCTATAGTTAAGTTTTTTGGCAGGTACTGGCTCTGCCGTGCAGTCGGATATAAATGCTATTTGATTGTAGTGCCTAGCTTTTAGTAAGACTCCAACAGTTAACGGATGTCTGTAAGAAATACACGCAAAAAACAATATCAATCAATACATTAAAAACACTTCTTTTAAGAATGGTTAAAGCTTTGTTTTGTTATTTTTGTTTTTTGTCATTCATTTGTTTCTCTACTTCCTGTTTGATATGATTATATATTTTTCATTATTGATCTTTCAAAATAATATCTCCTTCTTCTCAGCAAAGCTGGTTTTCAAGTGGTTGCTCATAGCGAATGGCTTGCTACCAACTATTAAATATGAATTAAAATAAACTTACAAATTGTGTCCATACTTACACATGACACATATCACCTATAATTTCTACTGATGGAGGAGCTAGCCTTTCATATCCAGGAATATTAGGAAAGACATCAATTAGTCCAAAATTAACAAGACTTGGTGTTCTGCAAATGAGAAAACATGGTAGTATGAACAGATGGGTTTAAAGTTTTAAATTCCCCACCGTTGTACAAGCATGGAACCCCTGTGGTCTGACGCCATCATATATTTACTAATAACTCCACCCTTAAACTAGGTAAAGTCCTATTCTAAAGTATGCTGCAGGATGAATATCGCTATGTCTAGGTACGTTAGACAGTTCTACCCAACCTATTGTCCTAACCTACAGTTGGTTACAGTGTGTGCAATGCTACACATCATGCATCTTCCAACAACCCACCAGGAGTTTGAATCACCTTAAATGCTTCCCCACCCCCCCATGCCTATGTGAAACTGCATTAGGTAAATAATGCACCTGTGATGAAAGTTGGTAACATTGAAGAGGTGAGTAATATGACATTGAGTTGGATGGGCGGCTTGTATAGCTCCAAGAATCTCGGCTTCAGTTGCAACTCGATCATGGCCAAGCGAGGGCACTATTCCCCTGTCATGAGAAAATATAACGATTGGAAAACAAAATCATAGAATTACAGTACTATTTTTTTTTTTATTCTGGTGTTGGCAATTATTTTTGACTTGCAAACACATTGTATATTCTACTAACATTTTTTCAATTTGTCACAAACATGTTTTTAAAATTTCATTTCACCCAACAGCGTAAATATACAGTACTGTATACTGTTATTGTATAATTATTTTGTATAACTTTTAGTTTCTTTTAGTTTAGTTGTTTTTCTTTCTCATTGAACACACCAAAATGTTGTGTGCCACTGAAACAAAAGTGTATGTTCAGTTGAATAAATAAATAAATATATAATCACTAGAAACATTCATAAAATATTTGATAAAATTATACAAACATAAATGATTAAGACAATTTACAACAATAATTATTATATATAGAAGGAGCATTATAGTAAAAATTTAAATGACTTAAATACAATTCCATAGCCAAAGTGTAGAGTTAGATGACTCATTTAACTTGAATTAAGAGGTTGGTGAAAAATATCAATCGATGGATAAACCCATCTTTAATTACGTTAACTCTGCATTTTGGAACGAAAAAAGGTCTTGCCTAAGCATATCGGGATGGGGAACTTTCAAAGAAAAGAAAGGGAACATATTACATGAGAATGAGGAAATAAGCTAGTAAATAATAATGTTTCATGACCACAGAATGATGAAGAAAATGTATCATTTATTAATTAAAAATAACTGACCTTTGAACTAAGCTTTTGATCTTCTCATATCCAGACTGCACATCAATGTGTGGGCTAATTGTCATTAACTTACAGCTGGGCATGGAATCTAGAAGTTGAGTGAATTCCGACATCGCCATTTGATTGTTACCCTTTGGAAGACCCCCTAGGTCGTTCACAATTGGACCCTAACCAAAAGACAAAAAAATGTTATAAAGTGTAAAATTATTGGGAACTAAATCTAATTCCATTAGAATATTTTCATTATTTTAATTATAAATATTCTTATCCAGTAGTAACTTACTACTGTACATTGTAGATGTGATGCACTACAAAGAATATTGCAGCAGGGTTATTCCGGCTCAAACCAACCACCATGCCCATGTGATCCCCCTTGGATTTTCCTGAAAAGAATTTTTAAAAAACCTGGATATGTCAAAAGAAAGAATGCAAAATTTCAGCTTCAATTTCCAAGTGGTTTTTAAGTTATGGCATTTTGAAATTTAGGTACCAAGCCCCCTTTTTCATGCCGGAAATGGCTCCTCTAACTTTGTATGGTTTTTACGAAGCTATATCTCCGGAAACAACGAAGATAAAAAGTTGAAAATTGCTATATAGACTGAAATTCGGCCCCTCTTTTCAGATATACCATTCAAATTTGGGTAGCATACTTAATTATAATGTTATATGCCCCCCCCACCCCATATCCCATATCCCCCGAAGCTTTGTGCAAAAATAGAATTTTCACTTTTTTGGAGGGCCGTATTTTATCATTCCTTATAGTAAGGAAGTCAAAATTAAACATGTGATGAAGATGCTCATTCTACTACATATATAAAAGTTTGCAAGGTAATTAGAGCAAATGAAGGTATGAATGGGTCCCGAACATGGTTGCAGGACCATTGACCCTAAAAATACCCCCTACTTTGACCGACTGGATGACCCCGTGGACAATTATTATGAAAATTATGAAATTTATACCAGTTAATTGGTGAGGAAAATAATATATTCTTGTTCATACACAGTATAACTTTATTAAATCAAGTATAAATAATTAAACTTGGATGCTCCAGTAGTTAAGTGGAGTATCTAGAAGTGTTGAGGAAGGTGTAGATAATAGGGGAAAGTGAGGAAAACTAGCAGAAATGAGTTTAAAACTACTTAAGTTCAATATTTGCTTTTCAATGGTAAGGTGGTGGGAAGGCATGCGGGAGGCCGAAAACTTTTTCTTTAGTTTAAATGCTCCACTACTCACCTCTGCATGGATTCCTTCACACACTGCACCTTTACCTGTTTCACCAACGATTGATTCAACAGATTTAATCGTGTCCAAAGTTCCATCTGTGAAGCAGGCCTCAGGAAAGACCATAGTGGCTAAGAAAGATGTCACCCCATACTTGGGCAACCGTTGTTGAGTGTAGTCTAGAAAACATTACACAGGACAAACATTAAATTTAAAGTTGACGATGCGATAATTTACTACAGGTAATAATTTAATACAGGTATATATTAATGTACAACAGGGGTGGGTATAAAAATCGGTCAGAGGGCCAAAGAGAATTTTTAATTTAATGCTTTTTGGCATTATGTAAGCTCATCACTGATTGCCGTAACTTACTCTACTCACCGAGAGGCAGCATCGAACACTCTGTGACGATCGCTACGGGATCTCATACGCTGATAATTGTGTTTGTACGTGTTGTATGCTTGTTTTGAGAAAAAAGCACATAAAAAATATAATTTTAAGAAATTCTGGTGATAATACATAAGCCTCGCATGATGGTGGGAGGTCAAAGTTAAATGCATGGGACTCCCGCGAGAAGCGTGAGACTTGACAGGTCTGCTTTTTACAGGTGATCGTTGTCGGATATTAAAAATCAAGGTGTTTTCTAGCACACATAAGTTTTTTAATTCATTTTCGAGGCCGCAATCCGCAAGTAAATTGCTTTTTGCAGTTCACCCACCTGTGATGTATAATAACATATAACTAGCATACACGTGCTTCACACGGTGTTGGATGAGTGGGGAAAGGTGGCGATGTATATTGTTGAATGTTATGAGAAGTCTTTAGTATGTCATCATTTTTTTTAATGACGTCTTTGTAGAAATAATGTCTTTGTAGATGAGTGTCTTTCTTGATTAGTCCTTGTGAGGAATTACTGTGCAGTTTGATGAAGGGCGGATCCAGAATTTTTTTTTAAATGCGAGGGGTGGGGAACAACAGCTTTAGAATAGATAAGTGAGTAGCACATAACATTAATGCATTGAAATTTCTAAAATTTAGTGGCAAAACGGGGATCCGCCTCTGCTCATGATCCGAACTGTTTTTGTAAATTTAAGGGGTTGATTGGTGGAGCTGACTGGACCCTAAATTTAAACTTCAGTGTCACCCAAATTGACCCGGATTCGAGAGTGAAAGACTGGCCTAGAGTGCCCTAGCTATAGATGCTAGTAGAAGGAGGCTAGACCTGTCTGTAGCAGCGTAGGGCTGGGCTAGCCCTAGCCGAAATTATTAGGCCTGGTTTTTGCTCTAGCTTAAAATATCATGCCTTGTGCCCAGACGTACGTTTATTTTTACCTGATCGATTTGTAAAGCATTCCATGGAATGCACTTTAGTACTCTACACTAACCCTAACCTTAACAATAACATAGCCACACTGGAGTTATGATTAAGGTTAGGGTGGAGTACTAAAGTGCATTAGCGCCCATGCCATTTTTTGCTGATGCTACTTTTACATAAGACTACAGGTGTTTAGCCAGAAAAACGAAACAGGCCGTCCAAAATGGAAGCCAGTGGGCGTGGCACTAAGCCGAGTGGGCGGGACTGACCCTTTTTCAGCGGGGTATAAATAACATGATGCGTGTTTTATTTATTTATTTATTTTTTTTATTTATTTATTTTTTTGCCCAAGGGGGGGGGGTCAGGACAACCCTGACCTCCTCAGATCGCCAATGGTATCATACACTATGTGGAAATTATTATACGAAGGATAGATTAATGCAAGAAAAAAATACTTGAGTGTTTGCCCTCTCTTTCTACAGACACGCATCGTAGTTCTAGGTGTAAAAACACTAATCTAGGATTCACGATATGGTGATTGAATTGGCCTTTTTCATACGAACCTAAAAAAGATCGAGCAAACCGTGTACTAATTTGTCATTAGGATAGGAAAATAACATTAAGAGTTGCAGTGATGACATCACGATTGACTATAAGTATCTATATATTAATTCTACTAATCGCCCCTGTGTAAGTTCACATATCTCCTCTGAAACCGCCGGCAGGAATGTGCTCTTATCTCATACACTGGGGTTTCTATGTGTCCCGAACATATTCACCTACTTTTCAAGGCTTGATATTGGATAACAACGTAAAAAAAAGCCAAAAACTACCGAAAATCTGTACCTGTTTCGCCATTTTTCGCGAGTCGCTTACGTCACATAAATAAATCACCTCTGTTAATCTGTACAACAGTGCTCAGATTTAAAATATATCGCGTCAGGCCGTAAAAGAAAGTCTGTCTTGCAGCTTCATTATGTCCCCACGCATGCCTCACGGTCACTTCAACAAAATATATGAGCAGCATGTTCTCGCACGGGAACAGGTCAAAATGGCAAAAAACCAAAACGGCAATAAGTCAAAACGGCAATGACCAAAACGGCAAAAAAAAACAAAACGGCAACACTTTTAGTTCAGAACGGCAATGGACTAAAACGGCAATAAGTCAAAACGGCAAGACCAAAATGGCAAGACGGAATAAACCAAAACGGCAACACTTCCAGAATGACATACTGTATGGTAATTGGTAAAATGGCTAAATAAAATACAACTATAGGCTTAGGCCTAGAGAGTCTAAGCCGAGGGCGTAGTAAAAAACGCGAAAGAAGAACAACATTATTATTAATAATAACAATAATAATAACAATAATAATAATATTAATAATAATAATAATAATAGTAATAATAATAATAATAATAACATACAAATTCAATAGAAAAAAGATTGCGGAAATCACAATATAAAAGCAGTAAACATTTAAATAATTACAACTTTAAAATACAGACAAAATGAGGCTAAACAATTTATGTCATGAAAGTAAAAAACGGGAAAGAAAAAATAATAATAATAATAATAATAATAATAATAATAATAATAATAATAATAATAAATAATAATAATAATAAAAAAAAATAAAGAAATAATTCGTCATTGATGTGTAAAAAAAAAAACAAAAAAAAAAAAAAAAAAAAACCCCAAAAAAAAAAAAAAAAAAAAAAATGATTCAGAAAATTTAATAAACTGCCTGGTGGCGCTTCAGTCTTGGCATTGAGTTTTGCTCCTTTGCCGTTTTGGTCTAAGCCTATTGCCGTTTTGGTCAAAGCCTATTGCCGTTTTGGTAGCTGACATTGCCGTTTTGGTCTGTTGCCGTTTTGGTTTATTGCCGTTTTGGACATTGTCGTTTTGGTCATTGCCGTTTTGGTTTTTTGCCGTTTTGTCCAGAAACCCTATTCCTGCCAGCGGTTTCAGAAGAGATAGGTAAAATTACATCGGGGCGATTAGAAGAATAAATATATAGATACTTATAGTCAATCTTGATGTCATCACTGCAACTCCTAATGTTTTTTTCCTATCCCAATGACAAATTAGTACACGGTTTGCTCGATCTTTTTTAGGTTCGTATGAAAAAGGCCAATTC